TTAATTTGTGTTATCATGAGAAGGTAAATTATAGCTTGCCACTATTTAAATCACAATAATATGCATATAACATAAGAATAGATATATTGTTATAAGTACAAAATTTACAAACTCAGAGCCTTGTTCAAACCTAGGCAACTGCTGTACCATTGAGCTACTCCCCAGCACTGTAAGATAATTTTAATGATGCCAAAGACTGTTCTGTCATGCCATGAGAATGACTCATTTGAAACTAAGGGACTCATTAAAGTATATTGTATCTAAATCTATAATAGAAAGAAAATTTGAAAATAAGTGAATAGAATATTTTAACTACAGAAATTATTTTCTCCATGTTAGTAAATATTTAGAAATCAGCAGGTATGTTGATATTTAATACAGTGGCAACTTTTTATTTCTATTATATATAAGGTTATTAGGAATGAATGCCAAAATGTGTCTTGAATTTTATAGTTTAGGAGAATCAATATGAAAATATAATCATAAAATATTTGTCTCACAAATCCAAGAGAAAGATAGCCAGTTTGAATGAATAACCCATCCTCCTTTCAAAAACCTTCATCAGTATCTAATGGTTCTTCATGTTTTCTACCTCCTAAGTTTGAAAACTGACTTCATAACCATAGGGCATTTAGCAAAAGAGAAGTAGAAATAAAAATCATAACTAACAACCCTGCTAAAGTAATTCACATTTTAGAGGGCAGTTTTTCATGACATGTCATCTGTGCTCAACCATCACTATGTATGTACTCTAAAATGTAGAAGTTGAAAATGTCTTGAAGTTTTCACTAGTCTCAAAGTAACATTTGCTCTCTTGATTTTCAATTGCATCTTTCTTTCTGAGTGTTCTAAATATCAATTTTGTGACTGCCTTGTGCATTTTACATGAGATAATAACATTTCAATAGTGATTGTAGTGGATTACTCAAAAATGAAAAGTAATCATAAATGTAATATACTACCTCTAAATGGCTTGGAATTGAAGCAGTTCCCTTTACAACGGTAAAAGCACACAAACACACTTGAGTACAGCATGCATGCACATTTTCAAGGTACAAATTCTTCAATTTATATACAAACGTATATATGAGCAAATAGTCTACATTACATAAAGTTAAAGTCAGGATGCTTGAGCTCTAAAATGAGCATTTCATTTAGAAAATTAAATATGACTGTTTATCCAGAACCAAACTCTAGTGAAACTCTCACAGATTATTATTTGAAAAACTTGTCAAATGTAAATAGATCACTTTTTTTTATGCTAACATTTTCATTTATTTCCAGCCCTACCCCTTGGAAAAAAAAGCACACTGGGGCCAAGAAAATTAATTCCCCAAATGCTGTCAACGGTTTGGGAAACAGCAATATAAACAGCTTACTGTAAGGCCTCCAGCTACAATAAAACGGCTGTCAATAATGGGCTGAGATTTGAACTGTGCAAAAACAGGTCCACTGGATATGATTACACGAAAAAGGAATTGGCTGATATTTCTTGTTCTAATATGCTAAGGCAGATTCTCAAAGTGTGGTCCCTGGACTAGCAGCATCAATATTACTATGAAAATTGTCAGTGATGTAAATTTACAGATCTGACCCAGTGGTACTCAATCACACCCTCTCTAGATAGGGCATAAAAGTTAGTGTTTTAAGAAGTACTCTAGGTGACTGTGGGATATTCTACAATTTGAGGACTGATATCATGTTTTTAAATCATATTCATCAATTTTTAAATCATATTCATCAACAATACCTTTCTCCTTTTAGACAAATATACAAATTAACTTTATTATTTAAAACCCTATTGAAATTTATTATGTTGTCATCCTCTTAAGCTGAGAGCAATGAACTTTGCTTTGTTATATAAATAAACATCAGGACATGATCTTTTGCTTTAAAATGCAAACTCTCAATCTGTGAATGTTGAAGTCACTTTCAAAATTCATGAGAAATATAGTAATGGGTTTGTTATATTCAAGAAAAATAAAAGCTTAGCAAGATAGAGTGAATGAGAAATACTTATTTACAATTGTATGTTCTTTGCAGGTCAACACAAGGGGGGACAGCAAGAGGGAAAAAGTCAAACAAAAATCACTGCCCCACAAACAACCCCATGATGTAGAAGAGTTAGACATTATATTTTCACTGAATAGACAATAAAAATTAGTGTTATTTATCTTTGGTCACCCTTAGCTGAAGAATCTTGCATTTTACCCACTATCAATTAGCACCATTAGTGAAAAGTGTCATGTTAATAGCAATTGGGCCCACCCAACTAAAAATCTCCACAGATTATATATATCAGCTTAAAAATCCCCATTTGTAGTGATTCATTTACATTTTTCAAAATTGTATAGATTCAGGAGCTCATTTTGTACAAATGTCACTAGTTGAAGTGAAGGAACTAAAAAAGTATTTTGACTTTTTTACCTTAACTATAACATCTTCAGACAGCTATCATGTAGTTCAGCAACAACAAATTTTCAAAGGATAGTATATAATTTATGTCCCCTATTCATAGAAAATATGCCTCTTTTCCATAAAATTGTGCATATTACTCTGTATATCCCCATTACCTCTCTCCTTACTCCCAATATTCCTTTTCTCCAAATCACTACTTTTCTCAACATAAAAACTTCTAAAATGTGTAAGCAAAGCAATTTTAGTAGCTCTTTATCAAAGTAGTGAATTATAGCTACATTTGAACATTGAAATGCCTATAGGAGAACTGCAAAGTGACGCATGGTCAGAAACAATGTCTAAAGTGCACTTTGGTTCCAGTTAGAGAATTACTCAACATCCTATTTGAAAGATTACATCATACAAACAAATATCTTTGGGACTGATGAAGCCTCAACAAAAGGTCTTTTCTATGCTTTGCTGAAATGCACTTAACTTTTATGTCTTTACACTATATATAAGTTCAACTATTGGAAAGAAGTCAGAAAAAGTTGGCTTACCCTTCAATGCTAATACCCATCAGATTTATGAAAAGAAAAATATTGTAGAAAGCTTATTAGTACATTTCTTTGGAAAGCAAATTTCAGATTTTATATGGAAAGTTTCAGATCACAGTAGCTTGTTCAAGATATTATGCAAATCATAAAATATCATAAATATATTGTGAACAAACTTCATAATAAAAAACTAATAAATAATTTTCTTTAAAATAGCAACTTTTTAATTAAGTCCATTTAGTGCTATCAATTAATTTCACTATCATCATAAACTATTTATTAATCTTTAAAAATATTTACTAAGCCAGGACAATTTCCAAATTTTAAAACATCAGCCTCTTTTCAAATGCTGATAAAGTTAACATGAAAATAAGTCACACTTCCAACTTCAACTTATAACCCCATAATCTCTACTAGGACTTCAATAATGTCTTATTTATTTGAAGTCATTTCATCCTGTGCTTTTAAGCTCCAAATATGTGTACTTCTAAAATGCTCTAGATATTTAATAATTTAAAGGTAGATTTTTTTTTGTAAACCATAGACAGTATGCTTATCTAGGGGCATCTGTGTGATCAGTTGTCAAAATTTTTACAAATATCTTATGAAGCCTTAAAGTCATTTCAGGCAAAAAGCAAAAAGGGATAGTAAAAGGGGAAACAGTTTCAGGAAGACATCCTTCTCCACCCTACCCCTAGAAAAGAAAATCCCTTGATTTTTCCACAGTCTCATCAGTGACTCTCAAGAATATTCTGAAAACTAATTTTGTTTTACTTGAATTTCTGAAATCCATATGTTCCTGATTTTTAACAATACAGATGGGTCATCACCAGAGGTGGTCCAATATCATTAAAGACACAACTTGGATTAGGAAATCCCAGAAAGTTGGTGTGGTGAGAGCTAATCCGAAAAGAGCAAGCAAATGAACTTAAATGTTAGTTGCTCCAGAGCAACTATCATTAAATAAAAGGTATCTCTTTGGCTGTACTACCAGCTTGATCTTGCCCTCCCCCTTTTTCCTTACTACTGCAGGATTGGCATCTGGCCAGCAAAGGCGACATGATACCCTAGTGCCATCTACAGGCTATCATCGACATTCAAATTTTGTGGCAACAGACAAGCACCAGTGAAATAAATTAGACAGCGCTGCATTTAAATCTTTATTAGCAAGGAATTATTAGACCTAAGAAAAACTAATTCTGGATTTGGTTGAAATATGAGTTTCTCAGTCTCTTAATCCCTCTTCATATGGCATATTTCACAGTTTAAAATGAGTTATGACAGATCACTTATGCATTACTAAGATGAGAGAGTATTTACAATGGATTCATTCTTTTCTCTATAAATCAGTTATATGAGGGAGATAGCATTCCTTTTTTCTTATTTTTTCCTTTTTGAAAGTTTATTTGGCCATTGTGGACACTGAAAATCTTTCTATCAAACACCCAATTTACTATATTACAATAAACAATTTGAAATCACAGAAGAGACTTCCTATATGGCTTAGTTGCAATCTATCAACAATCATGTGCTTCACAACTGATGTACATTTAATATTAACTATCTTGTTTAGAGACTAAAAAAAATTAACCCCTTTAGCAACCACAGCTCCAACATAAGTGGCATCAGACCTTCAAATGTCATTTAAAACTTGAGATTTGAAGGTGACTTTTTAGATCAAAAGGTAACTGTGAAAATTTTGAAGCTGTCAATTTGGAAATCCCAGGAGTAGAATTTGGCATATTAGGATGGGTTTTCTTCTTTAGCAAACATTATCATGAGACATTTTGGAATAATTTCTTCTTTTCATCTTTTGCCATTTGAAGGAAACTGGGAGGTTAAATAATTCTCAGAACTCAGAAATTTCAAAGCTGTTCTAAAAATTCTTGACTGAGCCCCAGAGGAATAGAAAAGGGGTCAAGTTTTTTTTCCCTCTTTGTAACTAAGCTAAAGTTAGACCAAAACAATAGACACACTGGCACGTTAATACTGGTTGACTGGGCACTTGTATGCAGTACTTATAGACCAGTAAAAGTGCTCGTTTACCTGTCTGGTGTGTAAGGGGCCCTTTGTCTTGAAGCCTCCTTGGGAACTGCACTCTGAGGCACTGAAGTGATCTGAACTAGTGGAAGAGCGTTTGGAAAGGGTGTCACAACCCCCGACAAAGGTGTTGTCCAAAGGGAGCTCCTGAATCACATGGTGCTTTTTCATGGAAACTGGAGTGTCTGGTTTGAGATGAAAAGCAGGCTGTGGAGAGGCAGATTTGTAGTGCTTGGCCAGGTCAGGGCTGTTAGGCTTGAAGGTTGTTGGAGGTGCTGGGCCCCAGTCAAATCTTCCTATACTTTGCTCCTCAAGCTCAGCTGGCAGGCTTATTGTCCCATTGATAGGTTCATGAACTGCATCATCAGGTTTGGACTCTTCGATAGTAACAAAGTTCAAAAGAGAGCTCTTGGGAGACTTTCTTTTCTTCCTTTTCTTTTTCTTGTTTTGTTTATTCTCCTGGTTTGGGGACATCCATTCAGCACCTTGCTTGCTCCTCTGAGCTGCTTTGAACCTGGACGCATGGCGACAGCGCACCAGAACAGTGACAAAAATTACAACAATGACCACCATGGCCCCTGCGACAATGGCAATCATGATGGTGAGATAGTCTTCATTTTGATAGGGCTGGCTGCTATCCCCTATGTTCCTGTCCAGTGGGGTCTCCATAGTCCTGCGGATCAAGTCATAGATATAGGAGGCATTCCCAGCAGTGTCATTAACATAAAGAAATACAAGCACAAGTGTGTGCAAAGACTTGGGGTACCCCAGATCACTAATGTTGACCACCAAACGGTGTAAGCCCACATCGGTAGGTGCCGGCTTTTCTTCTAGGGTGATGTTACCTGTTACCGGATCGATCCGAAATAAGCCTTTGTTGTTCCCACTCACTATTGTATACTTAAGTTCTGCATTCATTCCAGTATCAATATCCACTGCAAAAACTTCTGCTACCACGGAGCCAGGGATGGCTGAGAGGGGCACCAACTTAAAGGAAGTGTTAGATGGTGGAGAGATGACAACTGGACTGTTGTCATTCACATCCATGACGTTGATAGTTACTTTTGCAGTAGAGGAACGAGGTGGTTGTCCTCCATCAGTGGCTTTGACATCAAAAGTGTAGGAACTCTGCTGCTCTCTATCAAATGAGACATTTGACTTTATGACTCCAGAATAAGGATCCAGCACAAAATTATCATTGTCATTTAGAATGGAAAGAGTCACAGCTTTATTCTCTCCAGCATCTGCATCTGTCACTGTGATTACCCCCACAGTACTATACTTTGGCAGATTCTCAGACACAAAAAATTGAAAGTGATTATGAGTAAACTTGGGGCTATTGTCATTCTCATCCAGAACAGTAACTATCACAGCCGCTTGGCTTTGGAGGGGAGGGGTCCCATTGTCCCTGGCAGTTACTGTAAAAATGAATCGCTCTTGTTCTTCTCTGTCAAAGACTCTGGAGGCTGTCAAAACTCCTGTCTTTCGGTCCAGATCAAAGAAGGAGGCATTCGGTCCAAGCTGATAAACAATGTCTGCATTTTTCCCACTGTCTTCATCTGTGGCACTAATAGTTGTTAAGTATAACCCACGTCGGTTGTTTTCAGAAACTGACAGCTCAATTACAGGCTGGTTGAAAATTGGTGGGTTGTCATTTTCATCCTCAAGCTTAACCCTTACCAGGGCAGTCTGATTTAAACTGGGCTTCCCAGAATCAGAGGCAACAATTTTAAAGCTGAATTCTTTGGTGCCCTCATAGTCCAACAAAGAAGAGGTCTCTAACAAATATTGGTTGTCATAGACTGCCTTCAAGTGAAAGGGGACCTCTCTTTCAATAAAACAGATCACTTTGCCATTCACATCTGTGTCCTTATCAGAAACTGTAATTAGGGCAATTTTTGTATTGACAGGATCTTTCTCAGATAAATACACAGTGCCATTGATGGGACTTATAATGTACCTGAGGTCTATGTTTGGAGGGTTATCATTTACATCAGTGACATTGATGGTAACCGTTGCTCGAGCAGGAGTGGAGCTGCCATCACTAGCCAGCACTGTCACTTTGTGAATGGCTGTTTCTTCTCTATCTAAAGACCTCTGAACTGTAATCAGCCCGGTAGTATTATTTAAAGCAAAGAGTCTTTTGGTTGCAGGGGCGACCTGGGCACCAAAAATGTACCGGATTTCAGCATTGCTGCCTATATCTGCATCAGTGGCATGGAGCTGAATTACAGAGGTACCTACAGGAGCATTCTCTGGAATATGCACCTCCACTTGACCCTCTTTAAACACTGGCCTGTTGTCATTTACATCACTTACTGTGACCTGCAGTATGGCTGTGCTGGATTTCTGTGGAGTGCCTCCATCCTCCACTTTGATTTTCATCACATAGGTATCTTTCTGTTCTCTATCCAAGTTTTGCTGAACAATCAATTGTGGCCACTTCTCTCCCTCCGGAGTTTCCACGATATCCAGTCCAAAAACACTCTGCCCATTTAGCAATTCATAATGCTGTACACCATTGAAGCCTGTGTCAGGATCTGTTGCTGATGGAATTGGAAAGCGGCTGTTGATCAAAGTGTTTTCTGGAATGGAAATATTGATGACAGGAGATGGAAACATGGGGGCATTATCATTGGTATCCTTGACAATTATCTTTATTTTGATCAGCCTGAAAAAGTCATTGGGGAGGATCACCACCTCAAGTTCAAAGAAGCACTCATTTTCCTCAGCATAAGAAGCTCCAGCACAGAGTTTTTCTCTGTCTATTCTATTGGAGGTTGTGAAAATTTCCCCAGTGCTGCTGGATACTTTCACCAAAGGGGCATCCCCAGCTTTAGAAACCAGTCTGTAGACAAGGCTGGCACTCGTCCCTGTGGCAGCATTGATGTGAGAAATGTTCAGATCCTTTGGTATGTTTCCTATGGGCACATTTTCAGGCAATTCCTCTCTAATAGTGTAAATAAGTTCTTGAGCTATTGCGGAATCCAGCCTTAAACAGGCAATCAGAGCAGCCAACAGGTAAAAATCCCTCAGGTCCATGATAATGTATTTATTTTCTTTTCCTGGATTTTAGGGTTTAAAGGTTTCCACTGAGGGATGCACGAATTGCAAGAGGAAGTGTGCATGGACTGGAGGATGCATTACATCTCATCGCTTATTTGGAGACAGCCACTGTCAACACAATCGTACAGACAATATTATTCTTCAGTAAATAAAAACACACAGTCACAAAATATCGCACCACATTTTCCACCGCACATTAGTAAACATGGCAGTTTGCTCTGCCACTGTTGGCAAGTTAACTCTGAGGGTAAAAACACTGAATATTCCCTGCTTGTTGCATTTTCCCAGAGAAAATGAAATTACCTACTTTTGGATTAAGGACAGCAGCTATTTTTACCTGCATTCCCCCCACGCTTTTTATTTTTTTTGAATACTGTTAAATTCAAAACATGCATTCTTGTTCTCTTCTCCTCCTGATGTTTACCCACCTCTTGGCCTCTAACCCACGTCCCTTAGTTGTTTGGGGTCCAAGTAAAAAATCCTAAGTATTTAGCTACAGTTCCTGCTAATTGCTTTGTCACATGTCAAATATGATATGTTTTCTTCTCTGCCACACTGAGTCATCTCTCTTCTAAAAAGAGTATCTTTTTCTTTCCATCCAGTTCTTAAACTGCCTTTGAATACAATCTTACTGGGAAACAAGCATCCGGACATGCTGCTGCAGCATCAGAAGCAATAGTCACTGGCCACTACATATCCTTATTGCCTAAAAGCACAATACCAAGACTTGAAATTTCTTATCCAGAACCTATTCTCCTTTCTCCATATTGCCAAATTATTTCCATTAAGACTAATGCACACATTAAAACTTTTGAAAAATGTATAATAATATACAATTCCTTGTCCTAGATGTAGAGGAGAGTGCTGAGATGTAAGTGAAACACAGCTAACATTCCCATGTAACACTACAATATTTTCTTCTGAGCATAAAAGAGAGGAAAAAAATGCAGTTTCTTACCCTTGATCTCTGGTTATAATATTAGTAACATTTGCCACACATAAATACTGCAACCTAGTAATGCACATAAAAACGCTCCTGTTCAGATGCTCCCCTAACTGCAATTTAATGGGTGCAAAGCTCCAGACAGCTACCCACTTGAATAGGACTGGTCAGTTCCCAGGCTCTAATCTTATCTGCATTAGGCTGCAAGGTAGCTGATGCCCGAGATTAGTTCCGGCAGAGTGATGCAGGTAGGGATGCAGATACAGCCGAGTAGGTGAGCTCTGCCCCAACAGGCTACCCAATTATAAACATTCCTCGTCTCCACTGAGGACATATCTAAACACAGAATTTACAATTGTGCATGCAAAACTTTACACTTACGTTAGTTGCCTCAACCTTTCCCCTTTCCTGATATGCTGCAGTTAGGAATGATTTGTTCCAACACATAGAAAGCCATGCATCTGGTAGCACCAGTTTGGGGAGAAATCAGAAGCAGCAAAACGTTTTCTCCTTGTAAAATGTGTGGCTTCAGGCTGGCAAATTAGCAACTCCCGAGAACAAATTCACAGATTTGTCGTTAGTCATTCTCTCCACATTTCGTCTCTATTACCCACTGGGTCTGGGCTCTTCTGGTATTTAACACACACACCATCCAGTTGCACTTCTTCAGCTCAGGAGTATTTCCCACAGTATCGAGCATACCATTTCCATCTGATGTCAATACTGCTTAAGTCTCTAACTTCTGGTAGGAAACGTCAGAGTTGGGGTGATGGTAATTCTCTGGCTGCTTTCCCGGGTGACTGTTGCCCGACAAATTCCTAATCGGTTATCTCTTTCGTGCTTCAGAGACTCCAGGCGCTCCTTCCCGTCTCGCATGCTCTCCCTCTTTCCCTTCTCTGCCCCCTCTCCTTCTCCCTCTCCTCTCTCTCCTCTCTCTGAACTGAATTTCTTGATATAACTCTCAATAAGCCCAGAGGGAGGGCGTGACGGCCTCGGCCCCGCCCCCGGACTCTGATTGGTCTGCATCTTGCGGTGCGGGCGGCCGCAGCCCGAGCAAGGGAGGGGTCGCAGAACAAGGCGCAGACTGTCTCCCAGCCTCCCCTCCTCAGCGCCCCCTCGGCAGCCGCGAAAACCCGGAGATCTAATCCTGGTCCCGGGAGAGCCGGGTTCCAGGACGTGCACTGAGCATGCCTGGAAGGGTCTGCGGGGTGGGAGGCTCCTGTGCCCGGAGCACTTGCCGGGCAGCGAACCCCAGAGCTCTGGCGGTGGAGCGAACGCGAGCTGCCCTGCTGTGTGCCCAGGCGCGGATCCAAGCAACCTTGATCACCGCTGCGGGCGTATGAGGGTCACCGAGGCGGCTGGTTCCTGAGTGCACGTTTTGCGCTTTTGATTGCTAAGTGGAGGGGCCAAAATACACAGAAGGGAGACACGCACAGCCACCTCTTGGTGGGGAACACGGTCAGGCAGATCCCGGAGTGCGTTAAACAGCAACGCGTGCCTGGTGCTGCAAGGGGTTTTGCTGGCAGGGACATCGGAAAGAAGGGCGGAGAGGGCTGATAGCTAAAGGTGGGGCAGCAGATCTTTTTAATCTCAAAACCGAAAAGAAAATTATCTAGTGCGTCTACATGCAGGGTCGCATAAACTGCTGGGGGAAAAGGAAAGTTGCAGCCTCTGGGATCCTCTGTGCGAGCGATGTCTTCTCTGGCGGAGCAGGATGAGTCGCAGCGGAGGATGGTAGCGGTCCCTGCCTTCTGCTCCTGCTGCGCCCGGAAACCTGAGAGCCCGAGCTCGCCTGTGCACGCGGCTGCTTCAAAACCCGCTTCCAGCTTACCTAACTGTAAACTTTGCTTCCCAGAGGCTGGAAGGCGTCCCGAGCAGCTGTTTCCCAAGCTGTGAACATTTCCTTTCCCCTATGCACTTTCTGCTGATTCCAACTTTACTGTATTACTTCTTTTCCGTGCAATTCATTTTTTGACTCCAGTTCTGTAGTATACCGCTCACAGGATTTTCATTTTCATTCAAGAACGGGAGGGACTGACTCCCGAAAGGATTAGCCTATTCCTTTAATATTGGCCCCTAAAGCACTATATGTATTTGATTGATGTTTTAGAAACTGTAAACCACGAATGTTTATATAATCGGTTGTATCCACAATGCCATATACCTGAGCAGCAACATTTGAGATATTAAACAGTTCACTTGAAACAAATATATATATATTCTGAATGAATTATAAAGGTTTTCTGAGAAACTCTGAATGCACGATTAAATAACTTGTTCTAAGTTACAGGAAAAATAAAGGGCATTTATTTTAAACTTCTGTGTCCCCCATACTATACTGGGATGTTTGGGCCTTAAAGGCTCTTCACATACCTATGCACTGCGATGGCATAATCAGGAGTATCACTTGGTTTTGAACACAGTGGTTTTCTTTTTAAATATGAACATTTATTTTTAGGTTAAAAGTTAAAAAAAAAAACATTAATTATATCTAACAAACTTTATTGTATAAATAAGTCGTTATTTAACTTGTTTGTCATCACAATTACCTCACTTGAAATTGTAAGCCCCACACTTTTTTATTCAGACTGTTCCTCTAGTGAATATTCTGAGTTAAACTGCAGTGTCTGAAAGCTCAATATAAAAACCATTAATCCCTTATATGTGAAATATAAATCACTTTTCTTGCAGGTAGTAAGTTGATAATGTTTTTATATAGGCAAACAACAATTATAGTAATATTTTGTGTGATAAGAGTATACAAAATTTAAGAATAAAAAGGACCACTGAAGTGTCCAAATGTCAACAGAAAAATACTACCTCATACAATAATCTGAATGAATAAAAGGATGGTACTTTTATCTTACCACAGTGAATGATCATTTTGCCATTTGCAAAATCTATAATTAAAGCTAGTACAATGTTCTGATTGTCACCTATTTTATGCTCTGAACTATTTTAAAATAAATGAACCATCATTCTGATACATTTACAATAAACACAGCAGCACAGCCACTTTCCAGTTCATTTCATGAACATTTCAGTTATATTCTAATCATACTGTAGTCATTTCAAAGTCATGTAGTTGTAACACATAGCTTAGCAACAATTATTTAACATCATTATTAAGTGTAATTGTTTCTGTTTGCTAAGGGATAGCTTTATGTGTTGGCAGAATTCATTATTAACCCCACGCTTATAAATGAAATCTTAGTGTAGACACAGGATGAAGATTAGAGAAGGAAAAAAAATAACAGGATTAAATTTATGACCATGAGACTTCAATTAAGTAAACCACAGGTCAAAACCCCAGAATGAGATATGTCTAGATTCTTTTCAAAGGAGATTGAATATAAAATAGAAGTAGAGCTACTGTCTTAAAGCATTCTATCTTGTAGTGTTTATTTGGACTATTGTAATTCCTAATAATATTAGTTTTACCTCTTAAAGCTAGACTAATGGAGGCTTATTTACCCTATTACATTATAACTGCTGAACTCTGCAGTGAGAATTACTATTAGAGATTTTATTAATATTTCTAGAAGAAAATTAAATATAAAGGATCATATTCTCACCTTTTAGCTATTATATCTTGAGACTTCTGCCCAAAACACCATACAAACCATTTCCATCATGAGAAGTATTCATAAACTATCCCAAGCTATTTTAAAAAAACTAATATCTGTATAATTAAAAATTAGGGAAATAGTATTAATTTTCTTTTTGTAATGGAGTATCTATTGATTTTATGCCACATTTTATTATTTTTCCTTTAGTACACTTTATATATCCAATTATTTGACTCTCAATTTAGATTTTCAGACCCATATAAGTATACATCCACACATACACATACACACATTAACTTATAATTAGATCTCATTAACCTTTTCTCATTTTTGTCAGTGCATACTTTCTATAAGGAGGAATTACAATGCTGTCATTTGTGTTATACCTGAATTATACAATTTGGGCAATTGTAAAAATTGCCTCAGTGTTCTCTAATGGTTATATAGGTCATGGAATGCTTGTGAAGCTAAGTCACCTTTGGCCATGTAAGTGAAGGCTCAACCACTATTAGCTATTACATATTTATGCAGAAACAGATGTGGAGTTAATGCATTTTATATTCTAAAAAGTTTAACACTATTCTATTTATATATTAAAAATAATTTCCATGTAATGGATTTAATAACCTGAATTATTGGTCAGAGCAGTTTATCAAGTGGATTCTCATCTAGGATTTTTCTAACTATTGCACAGCATTTCAAAATTACATTTACATGGAGTGTGTAAAGGTTTTTTTTTTTTTTTCTGTAAGTTACGTTTCACATAAAAAACAAAGACTGTGGTATTTAACATGCTCAAATGCCTTCTTCAAGGACTTCAAGACTAATATTTTCAACTCTAATATGTAAGTTCTATATTCCAATTAAAGTTTAAAATTAAAAAAAAAAAAAAAAGTATTGTTGGGCCCTGGACTTCTAACATTCCTTTAATCCAGATGCCTTGTTGTATCAACACACATTAATCAATCTCAGGTACTCTGATGTCACAGCAGGCATTATTGTCCCCATTTCACAAAAGAGACTTGGCTGTTAAAGTCTACTGGGGGAGGGGTATGTTAAAAATGCTTTGGGTTGTCTGTATTATCACTTTAGAAAACGACAATGCAGAACTTTAACACCACAAAAAGAAAATTAACACCTTTTAAGGTTGTGCAAACTGGCACTATTTACTAAGTTCTTTGGATCATTCTTTTGCTTCAAGATTTATTATTAGCTTTCTTTCCTTTTGATAAATAGTGCTCTCTCTCTCTCCCTCCCTCCCTCCCTCCCTCCCTCTTTTTCACTTTTTTTTTAAAAAGGAAAACCCACTCCAAGGTAATCAAATCACAAAGGAAAGCAGGTGACACCCTTCATTCTCTTTGAATGACTAAATTTATATCAATTTACTATATTTTTATGACTGACAACAATTATAGATGTCAGGTTTGTGGCTTTAATAGTTATCACAATATAAACTGACATTTTCCAATGCCACTGTTCTACCATAATTACTATATAAATGAAGAAAACAATTGAATTCTCAGGTTTTATTATTGCTTAAGATTTATATATGTATATATATATATATATATATATATATATGCATGAGAGAGAGAGAGAGAGAGAGAGAGATAGCTTTCAAAACAAATGTTCTCACCTTCACTAGAAGGGCTCAGACAATCATGTAGAAAAACATGAAAAAAATGGTTTTATGGTAGTAAAAATACATGTAATGTTTAAATTTAAATAATTTGATTACTTAAAATCATGTAATTTCAAATGAAATATAATACAGAAAAACTTTCCTTTTGGGGGTCTGTATAAAGCTTATTTCTGGTAGGTAAAAGCTGTTAGATTAAAATATCAAGTATTTTCTATTCCATTCAAAATTTATATAAATGATACATACCAAAAATATGGAAAAACATGCACCTTGTGTGAAAGAACCTCAATTTACACTTAAAAATATAGAAGAAAAACATTGAAACAATAACATGTTTTAAGCTTAACAACATTTGACCACAATTACTACAATTTAAAAACATATTTTAAGCCTTTTTAAATTGAATATAAAAGAAAAAATAAACCTCTTTAACTACATTCTCATTAATAAAAAAAAAAAAAAAAACAGAACTTTGTATGACCTGACACAATATTTTGGGAAATTTCATTACCTTTTCTTCTTTCCTCTTTACTTCATAATGCTTTCCGTTTTTTTTTTTAATAAACTCACATAATTTTCTTCTTGATTTGTATTTATGATATAATGTGTACATAAATAGACATACTAATATAGGACAAGATGGATAAGCCTCATTTTTCTCTTACAGTCTCCTCTTAGCAACCAAATTTGAAACACAGTTCTCTCTAATTGAATTAGAACAAGTTAGGGAGAC